GTCTCAGTGAATCTTGGTTATTATGAGAAATGCTTTGGAGAGACAGACATTTTTAATTTGTAAAAAATTTACACAAATTGAAATACCATGGATTAAATCCTGGCTTTGTCTAACCTGATGGGAAAACTTACGTCCTTCTGAAGGAGCCGTGTGTTGGATCCCTGTTTTATGGAGATCGGTTCTCTGTTACTTCTCAATGCAGATTTTTGTGGCACCCATCTCCAGGGTATCTCAACCCTCTTTTAAAGCTGAAACGGGAAGTTAGTCATGAGATCTGTGGTGGTTACAAGCCAGATGTTTTGGGTTTTTTCCTTATTTTGCAAGTGGGAGGACAGAAGGCAGTTTCTTCAGTATGTTAATTCTTAGTGTGCCATTTCCTCGTGTAAAGTGCCATCTAGTATTCTTGTTTTATTTGTGTTTCCAAAATCCTAGAGTCATAAAAGGATTTTTGTGTGGTTTATCTAATCTTCCATATATTTAAAAAGCCCTATGTGTTAACATAGCACAGAAAGATTCTGCGTAGTTAAGAAGAAAAAAGCTCTTGCAGCAGTGTGCATAATTATGGGGCTGCTGTTTAGTCATCAGTCACAATATGTGTGCATTTTTTTGTCAATTCAACATTTATTCCCTTTCGGATGTAAAAAGAATTTACATGAAGAGTTTAGTTTGCTCAGCACAATAGGGCTTGACCCATCTGAATCTATTAAAAAGCTATTGTAATATCATGGCTAAAGACTAACATCCTAATCAGGGATGTGTTTACAGGGTAGTAGAGTTCCCTTCAGTTTGGAAAAGTGCTTGGAGGACTGGACCCTATGGTTGTGCAAAGACATAAAGGAGACATCCAGATTTAAATTAAAGAGATAAATTTTTCTGCATTAGTTTTTTTCTGCCAGGATAAACGGATCTGGAACAATGGACAGAAGAATATACCAACTGCCTGTTTATAATGGGAAAATGGTTTTCTTTTTTAATATATTGCTCATATTGAACTTCTGCTTTCTTTTTTTTTTTTTAATCTTCCTCTATGCTGCTGCAAATCAGCCAGAAGAAATCGGCAGCTCAGTTGTTTTTTGCCTGTAAATGAGTTGCCAGCATCCTGTAATTCTGCTGGCTTGAAATACAGCCTCATCTCCTTTACAGTAATGTGAGCTGAGAAGAGCCAAGTGGGGTGGTTCTCTGCGAGCAGGAGTGTGGGTGGAAACACTGTTTTTTGTGGCATGCTGCTCTCCATTCTGGTGCTCTTAAAATTCTCATTTCTAAATCTGTGGGTAAGGGATTTTAGAAGAATAGAGAATGTCTTTTCAAGGTTAAAGGGTAAAAATCAGGAATTAGTCATGCTTGCATTGGTTCCTTGTATTTATCAGAAACATCTGATATGGCTTCAGTTTCCATATCCATTTTGCTGACCAGCGGGAGATTCTGAAGTTGCAGCTACTTCTTCTGGTGAACTAATAGTGGTTCATTTACTGTGGATTACATTGCTACTCCTTTCCTTCCTCCCTACCCCTTTTGCTTATCTCAGTACAATGCAGTTTATAACTGATATTTTGTCAGTGTGCTACAAGGCTTATGAGAAGAAAGGAGAAAAGCAAAACATGCAGTTGGTCCCGTGAGTGACTCATCAAATGCATCATGAACACCTTGATTCAAAAGAGTTATTTTATATTTATTCCTTTCTTGCCATTCCTCTCGTGGAGTGGTACGCTTTTGATTGTGGTGAGTCAATTAGTGTAGTGCTGAAACCCTTGGATTTCCCATGGATAAGGATTTTTCTGAAGAATTGCAGGACCTGCTCCTTAAAGTGCGACATAACTCCTGAGGACATGTTCTCAGTTTCTGAAACTTATCCAATCCACTCAGCTCAATACTGTTGTGACCTTTCACATAAGCCAAAATATTATTCCTTGGTGTATGTTTGATGTTATATGTACACCAACATGGAGTAAAAACAAAAAAGAAAAAGGGATTAGAGGGTATAAAAAGCTGGGAAAAAGCAGAACTTTAAGAACTGAAAAAATAAGTCATCTGCATGCCTGAATGTTACCCAGGCATGTGGCTCAACCTTTGAAGAAAAAGGAACAAAGCGAGGATGATCATCCCCATCAGATGTTAGAAAAATGGATGTATGCAGAGGAAGACCATATAGCAAAGGACAAAGCAGATGGTTGCAGGAAAGCTTTGTACAGCCTTAGCAAGGAGGTTTAATTTCAATGCATTGCTGAGAAGTGAATGGCTTTTCTACTTCTTTGAAGCAACCATGCTTTCCTTGACTTCTGCGAGATTGACCTGATAGTTCCCTATTGTCGGTAGAAGATAAGGTCTGATTAGCAGTAGAAGATTTCTACTAAGTTTTCAAGTTGTGGTGTAATGTTCATGCACCATGATTTGCTTTGCTTTCAAGCAGGTGAGCATCTTGTTTGATGGGTGTGAGTATGGTGACATGGACGGAAATCTGTTTAAGTAGTTTTAAATCACATGATGAAATGATAATCACTGCTTTAAGTAGGAAGCTCTTTCTTTTTTATTTCCCTCCACTCCGTGTTCTAATTATACTCCGGTAGCCGGCTGTTTGTATCCTCCAGGCAACAAAACAGAAGCGGGGAGTGCTTGTTTCAGCTGAAGACTTTGGTTCCAGGCATTAAATTGCCTGTCTCCTGGAAAGCACTGGCAGCTGGCTGCAGCCGTGGTCATCCTAAAGACAGGTTCATTTGTGGTTCAAGTCCGTTGGTTTCACTGGAGTTATACCGGGGTAAATTCGGCCCTCTTGGTAGTCCAAGCAACCTCAGGAGCAAAGTATAAGAATGCCTTTAAGCTTCTTGAGGGCTATTGGTGTGCCTGGCGTATGCTTAAGTTCAGTCGTGCTTGTTGCAAGAGATGCGAATAGAGCAATAGAAACTTTTAAAGTTCCTTTAACATTAGCGTGAAACGTGAAAGCCACGAACTGAAAGATGAAGAGGTAGGAACTTCCAGGAAAACGAGCTAAGCTTTAATCCATGCTTGTGGATGTCATGTCCCTGCCAGAGACGGGGCTCCTCTTGCTCAGGAGCTGTAATTGCAGTTGCCCTTTTGAGTGACCTGTCAAGGGAGCTGAAGGAAGTACACGGAACTAAACCAACATGGGAGTCGATGTCTTGTTTCGAACATGGTGGCAGAAACTCTGTCCCTGCAAGAGGGAAATGTAATTCCTCACACCCAGTGGGTGGTAATTCTGGTTTCTCCACAGCATTTAAAATCTGGAATAATAATTAGATCCACAGAGGACTTTTTTTTTTTTTTTTTTTTAATGTGTTCTGCCATCCTGGTCTAGTAATTATACAGAGATGTCAGCTGGAGTTGATAATGAAGGCAAAATTTGGGAATAGCAACAGGGTGTGTGGCTGCAGTTGATCAAAGGCTATGGGCCTGGTTTTAAACACGGCTCCTCTCTTTGATCTTTTTTTTCTAATTGATTGAACACAGTAGATAAACAACCGTCTGTGTAGCATGAGCATTTATTATGGCTTTTAAACTGACTGAGGACAGCTTTGAATTAAATATGAGAGTTTAAATGATGTTTTTCTAATAAGTGTTGTCTATAAAGACTTCGCTTGCAGTGGCAATATAGTTTCACTTAAGCATGGTGAAAAGGCAGCTAAATACAGGCATTCTTTTTCTTTCATATTCAAAAAGGAGATGAAATTTTGCAAAATTGATTACATGAAAGACAAAGGCTTTTTTTATATGTAGTTATGTGTGGGCAAAGGCTGCTTTTTTTCTTTTTTTAATATGTAGTTATTGGTGTAGTGCTCTCAACTAACTGTATTCTCTTGCTTGGGCACTTTTTGAGAAGTTTGTCTAGTCAAGTGTGTTAAAATGTGGATACAAATGGAACTACCAGGTGCAATCTGGTAGTTCTGTGGTCATTTCCAATGAAATTAATAGAAAACTTTCCACTGACTTTTTAATGAGTTATATTGGACCCTGGGCTGTCATTGTTAACGTCTTGCAAAGGTCAACATCTATTTCCTGACATCCCTTTTGTCTCCAAGGATGCTCTTTGCAGTTCTATGGGAGACATAGTAATATTGCTATTCCTCTTCCTTGATGATTCTCTGTATAATTTAAGTTGATCTACCATGCAAGGCTTTGTGGAATAACAGAGACAAACTGAAAAATGCTGCATTTTGGGGAAGTTATTCATATCTGAAATGCCTAAAATAGTATTTCTGCATAATGTCAAGCTTTCCCCTGCTCTCACCCAGGTTATTCTGATTTTTATTCCAGTACTGTACTGCTGTTATTTTTCCTTATTGATTGGGGGGGATAAAATAAAAGACTATTCCTGCAAGCGAAAGCAGCCTGCCACATTGCAGTGCAGAGAGCAAGTTTCATTGCCTTTAACGTAGTGCTGTTTCACCACAGTCCAGTAGCACAATCTGCACAGGGATAGCTGCACATCTCTGGGGATCCAAATCTTTGGATTCCTGCCTTTTCAAAACCACCTGAAGCCTCTGCAAAGTTTCCACCCAGCAGCCTCATTTGTCTTGCCATGAAAAGGTTAGTTCCACTAAGTTAGTGCTGTCAGTTTACTAAAAGGTTGGTCTGAGTAATCTGTTTTGGAGGCATGCTTGGTTTGCCCTTGCGACAGGCCTGAATGAAATAGTTTCTCTGGCTTAGCTGGGTAACACACCATGTGTCTGAAAGCACAGGATTTTCTCGTACAAGTGGCTATGCTTGAAGTACTGCAGTCCTTGCAACAGGAATATAAAATCCACCCAAAAAAATACAAGGCTTGGAGAGAAGGGAGTGTTGGGAAGAGGACCAGGGAGTTCCATTCACAGTGCTGACTTTTGAAAAGGATAATCCATGTGCTTGCTTTTCTTTTGAAATGTTTAGCCTGCCCCACTTGTCACTAGAGAGGATTTAATTTCACAAATTAATATTTGGCTGTTTCTTCAGGTGAAGTATTGATATGTAGGGTCTCCGGAACTCACTGTCATGCTTTCCTTTATTTTCAGGATACTGGGGTTGGGAAATCAAGCATCGTTTGTCGATTTGTCCAGGACCACTTTGATCACAATATTAGTCCTACCATTGGGTAAGTACCATGCATAATATCTTTTTTTTCCTTCTATGTATTTTTTAGCTTGCTGCCTTCTGCTGAGCTCTTTTCTTTTCCTTACTTTCAAGGCTCAGAATACTGTATTTATCTTTTTTTTTTTTTTCTCCCACTCACCAATCTCACTCAACTCTACTCTAATTTAATGGCTTTCAGCTCATGTTACATGTTTAGAGAATTTAGGGCAGCCACAGAATCTCCCACTGGTCAGCAGTCTGGGGCTGCCCCAAACCAGATCTGCTTTGCTCTCCCCGTGGGAATACAGAGGGGCCCTAAATTTACTATATTTCAGCATACCCTATTATGGAGAGGCTGGCAGAGCTCTGCTATTCTCCTCCTGGGAATGGTGTCTCTTGAAATAGCCGCTTTCCTGAGGCTGTCCAGAGCCATGCTGTATTGACTTGTGTTGTGCATGGCCATGACTTCCAGCTGTTCTGTTTTGTTTTTCTTCACTCATCTTACATCAAGACATTCTTAGATGTCTTACTCAGCTGGTGTCCTTTTGTTTTTGTCTTGTCAAGAGCTTCCCACTTTAGACTTTGTTTTGGTCATAGGACCTTAGGATTAAAATCCCTTTAGTTCCCACTGGTCAATGCGGTATCAGATCTGATCCTTGGAGCTTAAAGAACCGAAACCCCACAATCCAAGCAGCTGTGATCTACACAATGACCAGGGCACCCCATAGCTGCGTAATGGCAGGAGGACCATGGGGAGCCCTTAACGTACCTACGTTGTATATCCTGCCAGGCTGGGCTGGAATGTGGGACTGTCTGTTCCCAGGTATGGACATGTTCTCATCTAGGTTTAGGACACGTCACGTTATCCTGCCTTTCTTGAAATAGGAACAGTGCAATTTAAAGTATGTATAATTAATTCATACGTGTTCTTTTAAAAACTGCCAAGCTTCCATGTGTCAGACCATCAGAAGCCTGTAAGTCCTGTAGTTGATTTTAATTCCAAATTTTTTTCTTTTAACATCTTAGGGACAAATCTGCCAAGTCCAGTGTTACCTGGAAAATTTTGAAAATTCTTGATCTCTTATGGGAAAGGAAGCTAATATGTACTATTCACAGAGGAGTAATTTGGGTGGGAAAGGCTGATCTGGCTTGTGTGTTAGAGCTGTTTTAAATCACCTGTGAAGGATTGATTGCTGTGTGTTGTTCAGAGGGTTAAATGGTATCTTCCAAAACTCTGCCTTTCAATGCATGAAGGAGTGTTAGGTGGAAGTTGCACATTTAAGTTCCAGGACAGTTTTGGGTGCTCCTAGAAGTAGTGACTGGAGAAAAATGGACAGAGAGAAAGCAAGCATGTAATGAATAACATTGCTGACTGAAGGGCACTTGTTTGCAGTGAAGGAATTGATGGGAACTTGAGTGGTTCTTTACTTCTAAATCGGCAGCAGCCTTTTTCCACAAGTAGCTGCTGTTGCTAAGTAGGTGTCTTCTGCTCAAATGGAAAGAAAAAAAATCCCTTTAATTTTTGTAATTATGATACCAGAGGGAAAATATTTTTCTATTTGAAGATTAAAACGTGAAGGCTAGCTTGCATGCAGGTGATATTACTTGTCTATATAGATAAGGTTTGTATTTTTATTTTCTTCCAAATTAATCAAATGTTTTAAATATACATTCCTTGCAACCTACAGTAGCTGCTGTGGCTCTAAAGTTCCTGGTTTTGAAGCTGTAAAGTCTTGCTAAATCCTTTCAGAAGGAGAGTGACAACTGAAAGCACACACCCTGAAAACAACCAAAGAAAATGCTGCGCTTTTTTGCCTTACTTAATATTTTTATAAGCAATGCGGCATTGTTAAATTAGAGCAATTTGCAGGTGGCTATAGAGGAGAATTCTGGTATATCGTTCTCAGGAAAAGTTTTGATCAATCATATGTCATTTGATGTCATTCAGTGCTTTTGTAATAACAGTGCATGGTATCAAATCCATCTTTATGAGCCAGGAAAAAAGTTATCACAACAGAAATTGTTCAGCAGTGTCCAGATAGGATGGGGGAAGCAAAGAAAATGTACCAGAGTTTGGCAGTCTCTCCTAGCCAGCTTTCAAGTGAATGCTGTAATGTAGAAAAAGCCTATAAATTTGTAACCCTCTTTCCTGAAAGAAGAAAAATCACACTGTGAAAACATAGACAAATCACATTTCCTACAAAAAATACAAGAAGACACAAAGACTTCTTCATCTGAATTGAGAGGGGGAAGAACTTTTTTCCATTTGTTCACCATGTGCATTTTAGCAGGTGCCTTTTCTGTTCCCTGGTGATCCAGTCTCCTAAGTTTAACTGAAAAGTTGCACATTTGTTGCCTGGTATGATGCTGGCTGATGCCTTTTCTCAGGTCCATATCATCAAGAAGATGGAGCTAGCTAGCAGCAGAAGCATCTGTGTTCCTGAACATCAGAGGCTTTTCCCTTCTTCTAGAATACGTATATAGGTATCATATATTTTATCTAAGAAAAGGGAGACTTTCACTAATCTAGGCATTTTATCGAGGTTTTGGAGTTTCCCCACGTGCAGCCTAACCCAGCAGAATTGGCTAAGCTCTATAGGTTGTGTATTCAGAGTGTTGGTCATGTCACAAATTTCTGCTGCTTCCTTCTTTTCAGAGCATCCTTCATGACTAAAACCGTGCCTTGTGGGAATGAGCTTCACAAATTTCTGATCTGGGACACAGCTGGTCAGGAGCGAGTGAGTATTACTTTGCAATATGTCTTTGTTATCCCACTGTCTTTTAACGTGTTGGCATACTTTTTCTAAACCTTTCATCTTCAGAAGACTTTGTAGGTATAAACCTACTGAATCTTTGCAAGGCTCTGCGAAGCAGATGGTCAGCAGTCACCAAGTATATAGGTTCCGATTTCACGGGTGGGGAAAATACAGAGGCAGGCTGACCATGCCACTTACCTAAAAAAAAAAAAAGCCTAGTGTGAATTGGCAGCCACTTTCCTCAAAACAGCTCGAGTAGTGCCCAGGCAGTCTCCAGCTCCCCTCTGGTTTCATCAGATTTACATGTGGCAGCTTTTGTTGGCGTTGGAAAGCACTTGACTTCCAGTGTGTGGGCTGGTGAGTGGTCTGAGCTTAGGTGGTGACTCTGGGATTGTTCTGAGTTGGGACATTGAATATGGGCATGGGTTGTGTCTGCTATTATTTTGAAAATTAGCACTGGCAACCTGAACCACTTAGGGTTTTCGTCTTGATTTTTCAAGTGTGTGAAGTGAATTGCTCAAGTTAAGTAGCTTTTCCTTTGGCTTTTCAATAAAGCCATGACGGAGTTTGTGGCACGAGTTCATGTTGACTGTATGTAAGCCTGGTTGGTCATTTGTTTCTTTTAATAACCTCAATGGCAGTAGTATGCAGTAATAGGCTGTAGAATGGTAGAGTTCTCTTAATATATACCCACATTTATCTTGAAGTTTGAAAGAAATTGAAAGGCCCATGCACATGTTTTAAGTATCTTTAATCTTTCTTGTGAAATGGCACTGTTCCTGTTCATAGAAAAATGTAGCTATGCTCATGTTAGGTTGGGGTAAAATGAGATGCTTATACAGGCTGTAACATCAGTCCTGATACATCCCACTGTATTCTCCATACCTTGTATGTGAATTGCAGGCAATGAATATTTTTGCTCTTAAGTGCAGGAAATGCTTGTGCTTTTATTTACAATGCACAGCATGATGTAAAGTGGCCCTGATGAAATCTGTTGACTCTTAGCAATTCAGCATGTTATTTATGATGGGAAAATGGATCTTAAAAAACATATTTGAAGTGTAGCATAATTCCTTCCCTTGAATCTTGTTTGCTCCAGAGCATGCAGAAACGGAACTGATAACTGGCTAATTATTGCAAGAGGTAGCAAAGGTTCCATGTTCTTTCCCATGGTTTGAGTTTCCTTGCTTATTCTCTCTCTTTTCCCTCTGCTGCCCTGCTGGTTTTTTTTTCTTTTAGCTTTTTAGCACACAAAACTTAGTTCTTGACATTTAGATGTAATTATGAATCTATTTTCCCACATAGTCTTAAGACTTGCAAAGCTTTTTTTTTAAAGTAGGTGAATATTAATAAAGTCATATTTACTGAACTAAATGATGCCTCGTTTGGGGCAGGAAGTCTGTGACTAAGTTCTGACTCTTGGACACAAAATCCATCCTTCCCATCTAGTGCCTTATGTTTCCTCTCAATTTTTTTGTTAAGCTTGTCATTTTTCAAACATCTGCTTTCCTTTTTCTTGTGTCTAACAATGATGAGCAGTGACTGCCACAAACCTTGTTAAATTGCTCAGAATCTATGACACATAAGTATGTTACAGTTTTTCATGTGTAATCATGAATTATAACCTCTTTAGGCCAGGGACCATCTTTTTCTTCTTCTGTGTTTGCACAGTGTATTCCTGATCCTTCAGTAGGAGTCTAGGAAACTGGGGTGATACAGTAAACAAAGTTGATGGGTGTTGAGTGCTAGCTACTGAGGCATGCAAGCTTCCCAAGGTGAGGTCCATAGTGTTCCAGGTTGTTCTCTGTGCTAGAACATCCCCATTTTACAGCTAAACACCTGATGCTTCTCAATAGCTTATTCTCTTTAATTTGTATCTAGGATTTTGGTTACTTTGTCTTGTGTTGCTCCTTCTGATCTGCTATTCAAGAACAAATGTCTCCCCCTGTTAATTTCTTTCTTGTTATCCTCTGAACAACAGTGATGACCCAAAGCTTCCAGCCTACCTCAGCCTCTGGGTCTATTGCCGTTTTTCATAGTGTACTAATAAATGTCTTCCGAGTGGTGTTTCTGCTTTGAGAGCTGTTGTCCTTCCCTTGTTCTTTGTGATTTTTTTTGTTGGGGCTCTATGTTCCACTGCTGAAGTCCGGAGGTTTCATCAATGCCCCTATTGTCTATACTGCTGATAACAGTGTTTAGCACTTCCTGCTCTTTCAACATTGCCTTCGTTTGGCTTCGTTCTCCTAAACACAAGGCCAAGTGTAGGACTTGCATGTGCTTATTCTGGAGTCGGGGCACTCGGTGCTTCCCCAGGTGTGCCAGCTGTTGCTGTGTCTGCGTGCTGATGTGGAGCCTTCACAGCAGAAGAGCCCCGGGTGAGATTTAACTGAAGCCTTACACCATGAAAGTTAAGCTCAAACCTTAACCATGGTAGAGCGGGCGGGCAGAAACAACAGCAGCAGCACTTCTGTGCTCTGTGTTCATGAGTTTCTCTGGGCAACAAACTGGGAAACTGCCAGCGTGGAGAGTGTAGAGAAACCACTCTTAAATATCTTGGTCTCAAGCCCCTATTTAATCAATGCTCCGTGAGAACCAGCATGCCTCCTGGCTGCCTTCAGTCAGTGGAGAGAAACTGGAAAGTCAGGTGGCTGCTTCTGAGAAGGAGCTGTGTCCTGGGTGCTGTGAGAAGCCAGCTGGAAGCACTCAGCACCCCCTTGAGGCCTTAAATCAGCTTTCAGATAGCCACTTGTAACGGTGTAAGCCTTCTGAAATGCTAGTTCTTGTTGGGTTTAAAAGCTTGTAGGAACACCTGAGTTCTTCTGATTCATATGGATAATAGAGATAATATTTTATTTCTTTTGTGCCAGGAAACTTGGAATTGTAGGCAGAGTAGAGAAGGGACCAGAATTGCCATTTTGTGGGAAATACTGAGCAAACATCACTTCTGCAGAATGACCGTAATGCAGCAGAAAATGGAAATCAAAAGCATTTCTGTCATAGCCTTGGTGGGAGCGAATGCTCAGCATGCTTCCTGGAGGAGACCCTGGAGACGGGTACGTGGCTCTCCAGCAGCTCTCACTGGGGAAAATTTGCACTGTACTTGATTACAAAAGGAGAGAGCTTCTTAATCCTTTTATCTTGTTTTTTCTTTTCCCTTTTTTTGGGTAGGGAGAACCTTAAACTGGCAGCACACTTAACAAAATCCCCTGACTTTTCTGTGCCTAAGTACTAGTCTCTGCAGACCCAGTTGCTTTGTGTTGGTGCGCTATCAGACAACCTCACTTCATTCTGTTTCTCAGAGTCACTTTCTCTCCATCCCACTATTTTCCAAATGTCTCCTTTTTTCCTTATCTCACTTTTTCCCCATCAGCTTTAAATTGTTGCCGTGGACTTCAGGACTTAAATGCATGACAATTATGTTATTGTTAGCAAGGATTCCCTCCCCTAAGAAGAGTCTCTTCACAAGTTAGTTAATGATGTTTTTATTAGCATATATTTTTGTTCATGGTGCCCTAAGTAGCTTCTAATTACAATGCTTTGTGTGAATACCTTGGGTGTCTGCCAGCTTTCCATTTCGCTAGCTGGGGAGTATTGTAGCACATAGTTAGGAAGCCTGAGGGCCATGTTTCTAGGCCAGGAAAATTTATCTGTCCTTTTTAAATTTACTGTGTTGAACTCTGGGATTTTTAATTTTGTTTAATAGAAGGACCCTCAATTACTTGAGCCCAATTTAAACCTTGATAGGAATTACCCTGAGCTGTGGGCTTTTTTTTTTTCCTAACTGCTCCATTTCCAGGAAAAGGCTGACTGATGAGATATCTACAGTGCTTTATAGCCCCCTCTTTTCTGAGTGACAGTTGTCCTGGTGATTCAGAGACAGTGTCACAAGGTAGGGGGTGAAAATGCTCCTTGAGAGGAGGACTTGTCCTTGCTGCAGTCTTAACTGGGACGTTTCCCCCTAAGCTGAGCAACTTAATCACGGAGCTTATGGGTGCTTCCTCTGAAACCAGACTATTCTGAGAGGAGTTAACACCAACTATCAGTGACTTGAATTACTTCTGTAGTCAAGACGTGGCCTGAATTTTGCTCTACAGTTTTATATAGGTGACTGTGATGGTAGCCCACAGCTCAGTCAGTGTGGAGGTGGTTCCTTGTATGTGGTGTAAGGACGTCCCTGCAGTGAGCTGCTGCTTGCATGCTGCAATGGTCTGCAGGTGATTTGGTAGTATGTGTGTTTGTGAGAGCACAAGTGCCATTAGAGCTAGTAAGTGAATATGTTGTTTTTAGTGAGTGTAAAGCATGGTAAGTCATTTAAGAGATACATGTAGATGTGTGTGGAAGCTTAAAAAAAAACAAACCTTGCAGCATGTGTAGCTTGACAGTGGGCCACAGTTTAGGTGTAGGGTCTTCTGCATCCTTTGTTTAATGACTGTAAACTTTAGAAGGGCTAAGCACAGGTCACTTATGTGATGTTGCAAAAGTTTGTTTTCTGCTTATTTAAAATAACTTCAAAAGATTATCCTAAAATGTTGGAATTTTTCCCTCTTTAAGAATTCTTACATATTTGAGAAAAATGCTCATTCTTAGATATCTATCTTCTTCAATTTAACTTGCAAACAATACTTGTAGTTCGGAGACAGACAGATCTTTCCTGATTTATTCAGCTTGCAAATCCTGAGAACTGGAATCTCAGCCTTCAATCATATAGGGAAAACTACTCAAGGTTATAAAATGCTAAATGGTATCTGATAGTGGCTTTCGTGCATAATGTTTTTCCATTCGCTCTTTGCCAGCTGAGAATGTCAGGAATTTTGTATCCCTCCCTGTGCTGCTTCTTGTGCAAGAAGCTTATGTGTCAGGATAATGTTTGATGCTTCTGGTTTTTGCCTTTGCTTCTTTCTGCACCCCAATTTTCTGTTTGTTGGCAGCTGCTGCCTCAGAGGTGGCAGGAACGGGGCATGTAAATGCCCAGATTTGGGCAA